GAACCCCAGTCGACTGGATGCCAAAAACCTCTCTCATGAGCAAAATACTTTGTGAGTAAGATGATTATTATAGCCTCCAGTTATTAAAGATCTAATTGTCATAAAGCCTGCAAATTGACATAGTACTTTGCATAGTACCTACAACTCTCAAAAAAAAAAAAATCAGTATTTGTTAAATGAACATTTACTTCCTATTTCCATACAGTTTTTTCCCCTTTATTTTTCTTATCTACTCAGCATGTTATTGTGACTTGCCCAGAACACCTTCTCTCCAAGATAAAAGTAGAGACACACTGAATAATGTATGTCCTTAGCTCTCATTTCTCTACTCATCATATAGACCACCACCTTTCTTGTGACAACACATCCTGCAACAAAATAGACAGGCAGGCAGGCAGATGACAAATGATTAATAGATAGATAAACAGACACATACTTACATACATGTAATTTGTAAAATAGTATATACTTGGGTCAGTTATGGCCTTCTTTATATCATTTGTTTTTGATTTATTCCTGCCAAGGATATGTGTATGTACAGCAGTCCTGACTCCGGCAGGAAGCCCTCCTCCTCGATAAGGACTTTAGTGGCCATCCCTTGGGCTGGGTTATTTTTACAGTTGGCTGCTCTGCCCCTTGTATAATGGTTCCTTTTAACTTTAACTTCAGAGAGTAAGCTTAATCATTAAATTCTAAATATTACCTTATAAGCACTTCTAACCCATGAAGTACCCCCAAATAGTATAGGATTTCTTTTTTTCCTTTTATAGCAGGTAGGATAAAACTTAACCATTTAATCATTTTCTTTTAAAGACTTAGAAAATTAGTAAAATTTGTAAAAATTAGTGAAAATGGCCTAATTTTAAGCAGAGTAGGCCATCTAAAACAATTGTAGAAGAAAACCAGGCAGGAAAATTTAAAAAAATATATTAACTAGATGGGCCTCCCTGGTGGAGCAGCGGTTGAGCACTGGGCTGCAAAGCTGCCCGCAGCCTCTGCTGCGCCAGTTCAATCCCCAGCCGCCGGCGAGGGTCCCACATGGCGCGCAGACCTCTCCTGCCGCCCCCTGCTCCCCACAGCAGTGTACTTCGGTCCTTCTGCCTGCTCTGCTCCCCGCTCTGGCTCTGGTGAATTCTCTCACCCTCCCGTGCTTCTGACTGTACCCAGTGCTTGTATAAATAAATAAATCTTTAAATAAATATATATATAAACTAGAAAGCAGAGAAAGAAAGAAGTAAAACCAGCAATATTATAAAGAAGCAAGAACTGGAAAAACCTAAAATATTTGTATATTGATCTTTCAAAAAAAAACCCCAAGGGCTTGTGTTAAAGGCCAGATTATCATATATTTCTGATATACTAAAGAACAATTACTAGAAAGGAAATAGAGAAATAGTAACTTTCTCAAAATATGGACATCTTTACAAATGTATTTAACCTGTGATAACTATATTGATAAGGAACCCTAAATCAGGACAACTATTAATTTTATCTTATAGCTTTATAATATGAAACAAGTTAATGCATATTTTATTCTCTTTATTCCTGGATACTTCTAGTAATATTATAATTTTCATTTTAACCCTAAACCAATTCTGATAAAGACTTGAAAAAAGTTACTATTTTTCTGCTAAAAGCCATCTGCTCTTCTGGGGAGCAGCCTGATAGCACTATGCAGCTCAATTCGGCAGTGAGACGAAGTCCTGGCCAACAGACAAGAGCAGAAGTGAATGCACCTCTTCAGGTGTTCACTCTTCCTTTCCCGTCAGCCTAATCCAGAAATGGTGATTCAGACGGGATCATGCACACAGTGACAATGTCCTGGGGAATGACTCTGTAGAGCAGAGTTGTCCTGCCAACCTGGACTGCTCCCTTGGGAACATGGGAACAGTTAAGTGGGAGAGAAAGAAATTTCTTTTTGTTAAAGCAGCTTAGTTTAACTATTAAAAGTACAGTCTATTCTTGTAGGGTCAAGTTGCCACCTTATTTAGTATAGTCCTCTCTTCGTAAATAGTTATTATTCTGAGTAGAAGAATAGTACCTTCTGCCACTATTAATACATTGAAAAGGTGATGAAAATTTGTGAATTACTTTGTAGTGAAAAGTTCAATATACATCTTAAATCATTCTCTTCTTTGGCCTAGAATTCTATATAACTAGTTGTTGAGATTTCTGTTTCAGATATCTACTGCTTACTGACATGAACACTGTTTAGATTTAAAATAAAAAAACATAATTGTTTACTCCCCCTAAATCTGGCACGTTTCACCGAGATGCCAAAGGCAGTGAAGAAACAGACTAAGCTAAGAATTCCCTGACTGTATTCTTCCACTTCTTTCATTCCTATTACATCACCAGTCCAGCTCATATTTCACTGGAAGAAACACAAAGTGTGAATGTTTCCTGTTTGTCACTAGAAGTGAAAGCCTTACTTGAGTTTATTTTACAAATTGGCTGCACAGGTGTTACATGACACATTGGGATAAATTCCCTTCACAATTACCTTTTATGCACCTTTAAAAACTAAGAGATACAACCATATTGTCCATTCCTAAAATTATTTAGAGAACTTCTAAGCGAAACATTTGTTTAGACTCACTCATTACTTCAAGCATACATCATTAGGGCTACTTGTTACACAATGTCAACCTACTTGGCATCAACACTTGCCAAAATCATTCCAGTTCAACGTATAAAATGCTGTGTGCTTTAAAATATAAAATGCACATATCCCACTGACATTTTTTCAGATTTTCATTTTCTATGTTCTTATTTCTCAGCATATTAATTCAGGGTACATAATCAGTCTATCCATTCTAATATCAACATAAGGGTAAAGTATCTTACCCTCATGAAAGAGAAGTCAGGATGAGGAAAACTAACTTATTTATCCCAATAGACAAAATGTGCATACATTAAAGTATTGGGGAGATGAATATTCAAAAGACAGCTGTTATACTTGCACTGGACTATCTCTGTGTTATGATTTGGAATCTTCAATGTACACCTGATATTTGAATTACATCATAATTAGCACATCTTGGAAGTCCAGATAACTAGATACAAAAATGCATAAGGAAAACAATGGCAGGGAAACGCTACATAGGATTACACATGGCAGAGACAAAGCAAAATATTAATCAATGACAAATATTATGCAGTGACAAATAGCTCAAATTTGGGGGATTAAGATAGCTAACCTCAAGGTATTTTAGTTTGTTAATGTGCCACCACACACATTCAGAGGTCTCTTAATAAGATGTATTCAGCTTTTCCAGGATACCATCAAAGGATGCAAACAACAGAAAGTTAAGGGAAAAAGCACTGTGGTTGACCAAAAACTAAAGTTTAAGCACATTATTCTTAGCAGAGCATCCTACTCCTGAATTAGAATCCCATTTCCTATTGAGTCAATTCTAACAAGCATGTTTGTTGGTGTCTCAAATTTAATATAGGAAATCATAACGTGGAATTGGGAGTGGAAAGTGAGAGGAACTATGAGAATGCTAGGGAGGAGACAGGAAAGTATAAAACACAAAGATAAAAGGTCTAGCACCCTGAGATCTTTTAAAGTACAAAGGGACTGTCACTCCTCAGCAAACTGCCAAGGCTTCAGGGCCATATACCCAGGCCATCATGACAGCCCTAAGTCACTATGGAAGATTAAACTATATTCAGTTACTTCAAAAGGCAAGTAAGTGTACCATAGATACTTAAGAATTTTATTGAAAGCAATTATCTGTTTTCTATTTTATGCATAAATGGAATGTTCAATTGTTTTAAAAAATTCGCTTGTAGAAACAGGCTAAGGCTTTACTGCAAATAATCTCATTACTATGAACCATCTCTCCGATCTTTATCCAGAGAATAATTGTCATTGACCCAATTTACCGTGGTAGGAAATACCCCAGTTTTTCCAATAGATATGTTTTGATGATTCCTGCAACTTGCCCAGGCCCGCTGATGGATGGTTTTAAGTATGCAGTCAGTACTATTGAGCACTAACAACTGCTTGAAATGTGGTATTTCCTTCCCAACCAGAATAAAGAAAATATCAAACTAGGAATTGCTATATATTGGACATGGGATAGGTGTAACTCCTAAAGCAAATAAGAGCAAGTCCTTCCAGACAAGGCAGCACCTTCCAAAATCACTGCAGATGAATAGTTCTCTTAAAAAGTACTTTTTCTTGGTTCACTTCTGAAGATATTTGGAATATGACAAAAATCAAAAATGCTAATTTTGCTTTCAAAGCCTGTTTTTTCTACTATAGAATTCAATATTTTAATGTCTTTTTTACAATACTTTCAGTTTAAATTGCTCAGAACTAGTCAGTGATAATCCTAGTAACTTTAGTTAAATCATTTTTATTTAATTTCACACTTATCAACTAAATACTTTCAAAGCTCACGTGTCTCTTCAACCCATTCCTTCTTTTAATAAATATTTACTGAGCATTTACTGCCAGGTACTTAGTTGAATTCCAAGCAATTCAATAGGAAACATAGCATAGGCCAGGCCTATAGAGCTTAGTACCTTTGTGATTAAAATGATTGAATGACATTGAGCTTCTCAGTGCCTCTTGAGACAGTTATAAACACTCTACTAAAGGTCTGGACTTATGATTCCATGTGACAAATAACTATTAAATGTGAACATGTTACACATTTCAAATACACATTCTTGAATGTATACATTTACCTATATATTAGATGTTCAAAGGTTTAAAATCTACTTTTCTTCTCTGTGAGGGAAATAAGCACAATGAATACCATGGTAAAATTCTACAGTTTAACTTTCTTATCTTTGAGGAAGAGGTAAACACATAACATTTAATAAATCTTGAGATTATCTAAAAGCCTTTTTCCAATAAATATTAGGAAAACATTTCAAATTAGGAATATTTCCCGAAACTGAGGCTAACCAATTCTGACGATTGAGGGATCCTAAGGCATTTCCTCTCCTATACAAAATGATTTCAGAGAAGTTTCTACCTAATTTAAAATCACCGTATCAAGCATATAGAATAAAAATTCAGAAAAACGTTATTAAAGTATCACACATATGTGTCTTTGTGCCACTTAGCAATAGTGATTTACTCAATCCCAATTAAATATATTAAAATGAGTGCATTTTATCAAAGGAAAATCTGAGTATAAAATGAAAAGGCTCAAGGAATTAGATTTTTGCCAGAATGTTGAAATACGATGCCATTTTAGTTTTTACATGCAATTAATAAAAAAGTTAGTATTTATTCCTATTATGGTTTTCATCTATGTGCTACTTTCATTTTCAAGTTAATAGAATGATTTTCACACTGATTTACCTGAGAACACCAATTGGGTTTACTTGAAGATTTTACCTCCCTCATCATATTTTATAGGGAAAGGAGTATATTCTAAAGAAGTTTTAGCATACAACATTAACAGTTTTCTTCAGTTTTGAGCCCCTTAGCTATTAAGAGTAATTGAAGGAATGATGTTTAATAAACCTATATACTAAAAGTTAAAGAGTTAACTACATTTCCACCTCTTCAACTGCTCAAATCTCAAGGACTGCTACTGCTAATGACATATAAAACTGGCATGGCAGGAGAGAATGTTGAGTATAGGAGAGTGACAAATACATTTCTTCTTCAAAAAACTAATCCATAGGAAAAGGATAGGGAAAGACATAAACCGTTTAGGTAAAACAACTAAAAAACATGCTGCCATGCAGAACAATCTTGGAATCCATTTAATTTTATTCAGAAACATCACCCTTGAAAACCTTAATCAAGGACTTGGAATCCTAATTAGATATTAAAAAGTACAGCACAAAGAAATCTATTTAAAACAGTGATGGGCTTACAGAATGCTTTTTAGGAACCACACCTAATTAGTCTATTCATGTCTTGTGTAAATTTTAAGCATCCCCAAATGTTCTATAGCTCCAAATAACCTGTAGAAAAGTGGAAGAACCACTTTTTGCCACATTAATTCAAACTAAAGAATTTTTCTTCCCAAGTTATGTAACAGTGAAGTCATGAAGGAAACCTTATCTTTACCTAAAAAACCAGAAGCATTAGTTACCATTTAAACTTTAACAAAATGTCTTTCTTTGATAACCAATGGCCTTAAAAAAAAAAGTTAAGCAATAAAGTCAAATTTGTGTCTATAACCGTAACATCTAATCAATCGAAAAGTAAAAAACCCAATCTGTATTCCGTCTGCAACAACTACGTAATCCCCAGCACTATGTACAGCAATTAAATTAAATCTGATAACACTCCTTAAAATTAAGATTCCCATAGTCTGAAGAGGGCAGACTAAATAAAAATTAAGACACTGCTTTGGTTACTGTTTAAAATAATAACATCTATGCTGATAAGAGCAGAAGGCAATATTTAATCAGAGACTGTGTTAGTTAAAACAATATTTGCACCTCCCTATTTATTAGCCAATGGGTTTGTCTAGAGTTTTAGAAAGGAATTATAATTAGAAATAATGAGAGCAATTTCTTGAGTTATCCCAACTTTAAATTATATTTCATTGAGACAGCCTTTAAAATTACTAATGATTATCCTATGCTATTCATGGGAGAACTTAAGAAATCTCATAATTCTGTGACATCTTTACACATTAAAAAAAACTGTTCAAAATAAGACGTGAGATCCTTATAGACATCACTTTACAATTTACAAACGACTTAAGCCAAGAAGACGTTGTAAAAGTAAAATTATGCATTTTATTCATTCATCCCATCAGCTGAGAATTGCTCTATAATACAAATACAGTATTGTACAAAAAAAAATCACAAAATGTTACAAAATAAAAAAGTACAAACTGCATTACTTAATAAATATGACTAAAAGTAGTTAAAGCGGAAATGAGATAAATTTTAGGTGGCAACATTGTTTGACCCAGCAAACCATACAAACTCTTGTTCATAGACATTTTTATTTTTACATAATACAGGGCAATCCTATTTCTTGCCTTTTGGAAGAATTGAAAAGGAATAGAATATGAAGACAGTATTTTCCTGCTGTAATTGCCAAGGTTGGTTCAAAGCATTTGCGCTATTATTTTTTAAATGTCTCAATGGAAACCAAGAAGCTATATAAAGCAGGAGGCTTATCACGAAGTTTTATATCACATTAAAATTCTTTTACAACGAAATGACAAATTTAAATAAAAACCAATTGAGAGCACCGGACCATATACCCTAAACATGAACTGGAGAACAGAATAATCGCTCTGCCATCAGCAAATATCAGACTTTCATTCAAGAGCTGGTACTATCCCTTATTAAAGGAAAAAAAAAAAATTCTTCCCATCACTTTCCCCTAAGTATTTCTTTTTAAAGGAGTGACCACTTCTAAAAAAATTGACATTTCAAAACAATTCTGCTTCATCAAAATGGAATGGGTCAATCAACTGGTAACAGATGCATCAATATCCACTTGAAATAATCGTCTAAAAATTCAAATTCAACAACATAAGATAAATGCTAAATCACAAACTGCTCAAAATAACAAACTTCATAAAGCACTTCTCTGGATTTATGCTGGAAAGCTGTTTCTCAAAATGGAACACGTCATAGATGAGGGTACATCAATTTTTAAAAATGTTGTGCAAAAATACAATTTTATAGAAAATAGATTACCAGGAATGAACAAATTTACACTGTGAGAAATTAGCTTGCAAATTAAGTAGTGCTAACTTTATACAGCAAATTATAAATAGCAGTAGGACCACCCAAAGCCATCATGAAACATCATTTAGGTGCCCAGCAACCTTCAGCTCTGAGGAAAAAAACATTCAAAAACAAATGATTAAGGCATTACACCTACAGTAAATCTACTAGGAAGTTGAAAAGTGCTATTACCCTGATTAGAGTTCATATAATTCTCCAAACACTCTGTATGCCATTTTCCCAGGGTGTAGGCTTTCAGAGATTTCAAGAGCATGCATTTTGTTCAATATACATTTTGGACAGGGATATGGCCATGGATTTGGCAAGTTCTTCATCGCGTTTTCTTTGTACTTGCGTTTGTTTGCACCAATTGTCATACTCTGGATTAGGATAGGAGTGATCAAACACCGCATCATAATGTCCATTGCTGAGCCAACTGAGCCAAATACTAGGCCTTAGGGAATCTTCTGGGCCCAAATAGTGAATCATGGTAGACACGGTGGGGCTCTCCAGCCTCCCTCCAGTCGTTAAATGTATATTCACATTCAGCATCTGCCCCATGGCCAGCAACTCGGGATACCCGGCCCAGGCTCCGTCCTGAGCAGCAGCAATGATAAACTCCCCCACGTCGCCCTCGATCAAGGGCCCGAAGTGGTCGAGGTGGTCGGCGATGTAGTGCACCGTCTGCTCCCTCAGCTCGCGGTGCAGGCTCTGGTCCCCATACACGGTCTTGCTGACGGCGCGGTACAGACAGTTGCCGTCGGGAATTATGTGAAATCGGTACTTATTCCTCTGCCGCAGGTACTTGTCCTGCCTCTCCACCTCCGCCAGGTACAGAGCCAGTTTCTCATCCCGGGGATCCGCCCTGGAGACGACCCCCGCCTCGGCCGCGCCGCTCTGGGCCACTTCTCCGCTGGGGGGCGGGGGCGCCTCGGCCTCGGGGTCGGGGCGCCGCGCCTCGTCCGCGCCGGGAGGGTCGCCGGCCCGCTCCCAGCCGCGGAGGCTCCTCTCCGCGGGGTGCTCCTCGCCCCAGGGGCCGGGCTCCGGGCTCCCGGGCGGCGGCGGCGCGGGGCCCCGGTGCTTGGCGGCCGCCAGGGCCTGGCGGTGCTCGCTCAGTCGGAAGTTTCTGTCCGGCCCCTCGCGGGCCGCGTCCAGGCCGGCGGGCTCGGCGCAGTCGGGCCGCAGCAGCTCCTCCAGGAGCCAGGCCGAGGAGCCCCGCCGCGGCGGCACGGGGGCGCCGGGCGCCGGGGCGAGCAGGAGGCAGCGGCCGCGCGGGGCGGCGGGCGGCGCGGGGCCCGGCTCGGGGCCGTGCAGCAGGAGGCGGTCGGCGCCCAGGGCGCGCACGGTGATCTGCGCCGTGGACGTGTAGTGCGGCGGCAGCGGCGGCTTGCAGGCGCCTCCGGGCGGGCCGGCGGCGGCGGCGGCCGCGGTGGGGGCGGCGGCCCCGGACACCATCTCGTAGCAGGAGAAGGCGGGCATCTTGGCGGGGGCGGCGGCTTCCCGGGGCTCGGCGGCCGCGCTCGGCTGGCACTCACCGGTCTCGGGCTCCGGCGCGCCGCCGGCGGGGGCGGGCGGCTGCAGGGAGACCTTGAAGGGGCCGGCGGCGGCGTTGGCGGCGGCGGCGGCGGGCGGGGCGGGGGCCGCGGCCGTGGGACCCGGTGCCCCGGCTGGGTAGTGGGTGCAGACGCTGCTGTAGAGCTGCATGTCCCTGCCCGCCGCTCGGCCCCTTATAGGCGCGGCGAGCTCCGGCGCGGGGACACACCCTCCGGGCCCGGGGGAGGGCTCCGGCCGAGCGCGGTGACCCAGAGCCCCGAGAATAGAAATGAGCGCAGGGCCGCGGGCCGCCCGCGCGTCAGGCGCCGCGAATAGCGCCCCGGCCCCCGCCAAATTCCTGCTGCGCCACAGCGCGCGGTGGGGGCGGGGAGGGGGCGCGCGCGCGAACCCCGCCGGCGCGCTCGGCCCGCAAGCCCGGGGCGCCGAGCCCGCTGCCGCTGCTCCGGCCCGCGGCGGCCGCTGGGGACTCACGGAGGAAGCCGCCCGCCCCGCTGGAGCGCGTCCCGCCGGCGGAGAGCAGTGCAGGGCGCGCGCCGCGGCTGGGGGCGGGGCCGCGGTTGTTTACCTCAGGCCGCGCGGCCGCGTCACGTGGGCCCGCTGGAATGTGCGCTCGTCGCGGCGCCCCATTCAGCCGCGCCGATTCGCCCCGCCCCGGGTTGGCGCCCCGCCCCGTTCGGCGGACGTCATGGGCGTGGCTGCCGGCGTGTGGGCGGGGCGGAGCGCGAGGCGCGGAGACTCGGTGGCCTGCGACAACAGAGGGTTTCCGGGTCGCTCCGCCTACGTCCGTCCCGCGTTTGGGCGGGGGCTGCCTCTGCGCGGCGGCGGCGGGGTGTGGCCGGGGGCGCGCTCCTGGGCGCGAGGTAGAAGGCTGTGGAGGCGGGCGTTTGGGAAGAGTGCTCGGTAAGGAAGGTTGAACGCTGCCTGGAAGCCTACATGGCCTCTGTGTGGCCATTGACCGCTGTTCATGCCGGCTTCGTCACCGCCCTGTCTTATTGATTCGCCTCTTAGGATTAAACCGTTATGGGGCGTGAGGCCTCCGGCCCACCCCGGGGCTTTACTGCCCTCTTAAACCGAAACCGACTTTTCTGCACCCTTAACCCAGGTGGACTAGCAAGCACATGACTTGACTGAAAAGCTTTTCAATCAGCTTATGTAATGCCACATGCCATACCTCCTGGGGCCTTTTGAAAATAAGACTGCTAAGCATAGGTCAGGGGCAAAGAGAGATTTCTCATGCGTTCCAAGGCATGTTGGGATGTTGAAAACTAGAAGAGGCATACCTTAATTTTATTGTGATTGGTGTGATTGCACTTAAATAACAGCACCTTGTACAAATTGAAGGTTTGTGGCAACCCAGCAAGTCTTACAGATGCCATTTTCCCAAGAGCCAAATGGTTGACATTTTTTGTACCAGTACAGTATTTTTAAATTTTATTTAGACTACTGTACTCAACAGACTGTAATGTATTAAAAGCCCTGGCTAGGGTAGACATAACTTTTGTGCGCACTAGGAAAGCAAAATATTCTTGTGACTGTTTTGTGATATTTGCTTTATTGTAGTTGTTGGGGGCAGAAGAAAAATTTCATCTTGCCCCTCTAGAGTCTTCTAGGCTGGCAAATAAGCATCAGAGTGAGAAGAGAAAAAATAAAGTTTTATAGTAACTTGAATATCCCCTGTATGCATGGGATAAACCCAGTAAAACTTAGTAACTCAAAATACTATAAATCATCCCCTTACATAACTTCAGCTAAGACATGGAAGGGAGAGAGGCAACAAGCCTTTGTCTTTTGTGCAGATTTGGGTTTTGCCTTCTTCTGGTAAGGTGAAGAAGAAACTCTTACAAAAGGAAATTTTTCCTTTACACCTGTAAATTTCTCTTACAGGAAAACAAAACCCCAGGCACCTTCCACCCAACCTTTTGAGGTCCTCTTTGAAGTATATCTTGTGTCAAAGATCGTCTTGGCAGTGGCATATTTTATACCCCTATGCAGTGGTCTAGAGCCAAACAGACAATATCAGGTATGCCCGTAGTATGCTCTTTGTAAAGGGGAGCTGGAATATTCATATACTAGACCCTTTGCTAACTAAGGTTAGCAGGCCACTTTTGCTCTTTTCTGACTGCTCAAATGCTAAATTAACAGACTGAATTCAAATTGAACCCAGAAGCTATCCCGCTATTTTGGAGATAGAAAAGATCGTGGTATATGTCTCCCCTACCCTTCCACTGGAATGTAAATTACACAAATGGGGTCTTGTTTGCTATTGTAGTTATATCCCTTAGCACAGTGCCTGGCACATAGTTGGAGCTAATTAATGGTTATTGTGTGAGTGAATTAATGGAAAAGGAGTTCCTGAAATTTCTTAGACTGTAAAGAAGCCAGAAGTTATGATCCCAGTCTCTTGACCCTAGCCAGGGCTTATAATTTGCCATGGGAGGTATAATTAGCAGGATTCCATCAGCAGCTATTTGCTGCTTCAACCATGTTAGGTAAATGGACTCATGAGAAAGTAAAACAACTGTCTAACCATCTTTTCAACTCCCGGTGACTATCTATTGGGAGCTCAGTCCCTCTGGCCAGTTACACAATGGAAATTTCTTAGGTTTCGTCATTGACTTTTGAGGTGACTGTTGTTGTGTATTAAGCACCTTAATTATAAGTCACACCGAATTCTACAGTTAGCATTTCAGTAACAGTTGTTCTGAAGTAGAAAACAATAGTAAGATAACCCTCAAATAATATTTACTGAGTACTCATTGTCTACCTAGCAGAGCTAGCATAATAGGAACCTGAAGGGAGATGAGGAAACTTAAAATTTAAGTCCTAAATTAAGAATTGTTACAGGGAACAATCAGGGTATAGGCCAAAGGTGTAAGATGAAAGAATTCATCAGACAGTGGAGAACAGATAATGTGATTTATTGAAATGCACTGCTAAGAGAGAGGCAAGACTAGAGAGATGGACTGTGGGCAGAGTCCTGAGGCTCTATACTGCAGGCATCATTGATTGGTTAAGATGACTAGTCTTGGGTGTGTCCTGATTGACCATCCAGATCAGCTTAATGGATCATCAGCTTAGTGGATCCCCAGCTTAGCTCAGTTCCCAAGGCCGTCCCATCCACTCCCTTTATCCATTCAAGCTTCCCAAACTTGCTCACTGGACAGGGAATGGGGGCTTATTTTTTAAATTTAGTAATGATACCACCACAAGAATATGTTTTTAATAGTTTGGGTGAGCACTGGGTGGGGTGGGGGTGATAACACACTAGAATGTGGCAGTAAAAGTGTCCATTCTAAAAGGATCCAACCAAAATTTATTATTAAAAAAAATAAATAAAATTAAAAAAATAAATAAAAGGATCCAACCATCTGTGTGCACAGTGGCAAGATTCTTAGTATGATAGATCTTTAATGTAATTATTGTTATAGAGAGAAAAAAAGTTTATTTCTAATAAAACTTTCCTAAAAAATACCCCAAATTATTCATCCGCTCATGGGTAACTGCCCAGCCAAACAGGCTTGACCCAAAGAGGGGCTGCTGAGGCCCGAAATCTTGGCACAAGTTTAAGGCACCTTCTTTCAGAGAAATACAAGAAAGGGACCAGGCAACTCTAAGATAAAAGGAGGAGCAAAATAAAAATACAAATCAAGTTAATAGTTGTCTATCAACTTCCCCATATATCTCTCACCCGTGTCTCTTCCAAGTGTCTCTACATGTCTGTTCTCCACGAGTCTCCTCCAAGACATAGAAGCAAGAGTCCTTTTCAATCTTCCATGTTATATAGCTTCACCTTGCTCATAGTCCCAAGTAGCTAGTTGAAGACGTCTGCACGTATATGGGGCCACAGAACATGGTATCTCCCCTACCAAAAGGACAGTCTTGGTCTGACATACCAAATGAGGAACAAATGGAAATGGAAATGTGAGGATGACGAAATTTAGCATACATGAAGTTTCTTTTTTATTTTTCTTGTAGTTTTGGGGGGTGGTGGACTATGTAAGACTGCATATTCACTGTGCGAATCAATGTCCACTCTATATTTCAATCTGGAAGTCTTCCTGGAGGAAATGATACTTTAGGAAACTCGAAGCAGGGAGTTGTTGGAAATGGCTGTTGTTTTCTGTCTTTTACATCTAAGTGAAGGCAAGACCTCACAAGTTATATAGCAAAGAGATCTGAGTGGGGGGAAAGGGAGACAAATCTGATTCCTTAATATTCCATCTGTAAAGAATTCCTAATGATTCTATTCTGGAAAGTCATCTGTCCAGCATATTTTGGTGCTGTCAGAAAACTGGCAGAACTTTAGGAAAATAGGATTCTAAACCAAAATTGCATAGTCATTGAATATGCTGGAAAAACAGGAAATTTGGGTAGCAACAAGATAACCAAGAGATTAAAACAAAACAAAAAGGTTTGGGTGTTAATTGATGAATATTTATTGAATAATGGCCATGCCCCCAGCATAGTGCCCTATCCAGAGAATTCAGAAACACTTTCCTTCTGGCAGCCCAGGCAATAGAAATCTAGCACCAAATCTAGCACTTTATATAATTAATAATGCTAACCCTCACGTGGGTTGTAAAGATAGATACATCTAATCTTAGCCATATTCTTGGAAAGATAATAAAGTTCCCAATCTCTTCTCCCCCAAACAAAACTTAAAAGCATAATCACTTATCTATTTATTCACTTATAATGTTCATTTCTTTGTTAACCTAATGTGAAAAAGATCTTAAAGTGGAACGACTCATGGTCCCAATTTAAAAAATTCCTGCAAAACTGTCATCACGAAGACCATGTGGGAATGGCATAAAGATAAATATATAGACCAATGAAATAAAATTAAGAGTCCAGAAATGATTCTAGGCATTCACAGTCTATTGACTTTGACAGGGTATCAAGACAATTAAATGGGAGAAAGAATAGTCAACCTAGTGCTACTGGGACAACTGGATATCTGCATACAAAAGACTACACCCCTGTGAAACTGTGCCCTTGCCACACAACCCTTACAAAACTAAACTCAAAATGGATGAAAGGTAAGAACTAAAACTAGAAAATTCTTAAAAGAAATCATAGGTGAAAATTTCAGTGCCCGTGGACTAGTAATGGTTTCTTGGGTGTGACACCAAAAGCACAAATGCCAAAAAAAAAAACAAAATCAAAACACAAAACTCAGAAATATTAAACTTCATCAAAATGAAAACTTTGTTCTTCAAAGGGCATGATTTTAAAAAGTGGGAAGATAAACTACAGAATGGGAGAACATATTTGCAGTTTATGTTTCTGGTAAGTGTCTTGTAAAATATATAAAGAAGTCTTAGCAATTAAACAATCAAAAACCCAGTTTTTTAAATGGACAAATAATTTGAATAGACATTTCTCCAAAGAACATGCACAAACAGGTAACAAGCACATTAAAAAAAAAATACTCAAGATCATTATACATTAGGGAAATGCAAATCAAAACCAAAGTGAGAAACATTTCACCCCTATTAAGATGGCAAATAAAAAAAACAGATATTAGAAAGTGTTGATAAAATTTTGGAGAAATTAGAACCATTGTACATTGCTAATGGGGTTGTAAAATGTTACAGACACATTGAAAAACAATATAGCAATTCTTCCAAAGGTTATGGTTAGAGTTATTATATGATCCAGTAACTCCACTCCTATGTACATAGCTAAGAGAAATGAAAACCTGTGCCCACACAAACACTTGTGTATCAACATCCATTCATAATAGACAAAAAATAGAAATAGCCCAGTTATCCAGCAACACAAATACATATTCTACACAATGAAATATTATTCAGTCATAAAAAATGAAATGCTCATACATATTACAATGTGAATGAATCTTACAACAATATTCTAAATAAAGAAACCAGACCCAAAAGGTCACATAGTGTAGCCTTCCATTAATATGAAATGTTCAAAATTGGCAAAAATCAAAGAGAGAGAAAATAGGTTATTAATTCCCCAGGACTGGGAAGAAAGGGGAAGAGAGTCACTACCAGTGGCAATGGATTTCTTTAGGGGATGATGAAAGTGAAATCAGATTACAGTCATGATTACACAATTCCATGAATGTGCTAAAAGGCCACTGAATCAAATATTTCAAAAAGGTGAATTTTATGTATGTGAATTGCATCTAAATGATAACTGTTAAATAACTTACTGTGAGCCACTACTATGCCAATTGCTTGATATGAAAATATTATGTATTATCTATAAAAGTCTAAGCAATAATATCACTTAATTTGTGACATATAAGTCAGAGACAATATTTTGTATATCTTGATATATCTGACAAGTTCATGATACTCTATATAGCAGCTTAAATGCAGCTATTAAAATAAGAAGGTGTTAAAGCTTACTGAAAACAAATTGTGCTCAGTTGAAAGGAATATTTGAAGAGCTGGGCCAGTGAAATGCTATTTGAATTTATAATTTTGTTTTTTCTTAAATGTTTTGTGTAATCACCATAATATAAAAACAATTTTATATTCGATTTAACAAACATTTATTGAGCACTAACAGACACAAAGCATATGGGAATATATCCCAACAGAACCATATAAAGAATGACTCAAACTTAAAATATATACTGTGGAAAATGATTCTGAAAAGAACCTGACACAGAACAGACTCTCAATAAATATTAATGTTGTCAAGTAAAAATGGAACATAAGCAATAAAGGCAAGCATCTTGGAAAGTATTGTGTGGGCTGATGATGTATATTCACTCTATTCAATTGACAATTTAAAGTGAACAAATAAATAAATAAAGAGCACCATGTTATGCAAACACCTCAATATTCTTTCTCAGCTCATCTACCACTGCTGACATGTCATAGGCTGGAAGTGAAATTTCCAGGCAGAAATGAGAGCTCCTCTTTAATTATTTAAACTGCATCATTCTTCTGAAATTATATTTATTAGTATCACTGAAAATTCTATTACCTAAAGATGTTATAACTCCTGGAAGTCTAAATAAATTTGTGATAACTAGATCAAGTAATCTTCAGATTTTGTAGGAAAAAGAATTAGGACAAAGAATGGAGAAAAGACTGAGAAGTGTGTGTAATCATTCATTCCTAAGTTTAGACTTGGAAAATATGCAGATCCTTTTGATAAATAGCCCAACAGTCCCCCCTGTGGATTCACCATGTGGTTCAAGTCCCTGCTTCTCTCATTTTTCATTTTGTGTGTTCAATGGACTATTGAGAGAAAGGAAGGAGGGTCAGGGCTATTTATTCCCAGGGAGGTTCAGATGACATAAATTTGAACAGAATAATTGGTTCCCATACACAGCTTTGACTCATACCAACAGGAAGGGGAGGAGCCCCCAACCTCAGGTGTTCCCTCAATTGAGTTGATTGGATTTGGTACTAGAAACGAGAGAAACATTTTGCTGTGCTCGGTTGCCATTTCTGGTTGCCTCAATCAATATGGATGATCATTTCTAATAATTACGCCTGCTAGTTGCAGAGAGAGAAATAGAAATAGAGCTTGTGATCCTGATTTGACTTGAATGTTTGTGTCATATTTTGAAATCCCACTACTACAAGCATCAGTGGGTAGAAGCGCAAGATGTTACTGTCTTAGTGCACAGGACATCCTCCTATAGTAGTTACTGATCTAAAATGTCAATGGTACTGAGACTGACAGATCTTGATATACATACACAATTTTTTTTTTACAAAGATGGGATCATACCTCAGATACTAGCTGTCATCTCTTTTTAAACTTGTATGTCAAAATGTTTTTTTATATTAAAAATATATTTCTATATCTTTCTCTGATTGCATTTTAATAAATCAATTCTCTTTGAGTTTTTTAGCACTCTTGTGACCTTACATAGAGGCACTAGGTAAGTGTCAACCAGTATTTGCAGCGGGTTGACCTCACTGTGTTATCTACTTCATAATCCCTCAAAATATAGAAACCACTAAGGAATTTGCACTTAGGGGGATTACTGCTTTCTCTGATTCTATAATTTTAGTGAAAACTTAAGTATTATCCTTTACTGTGCCTCAAAGTATGTTTCTTTTAGATAGTATATTGATATAACTGCTTTATTTGGTAGCTTACTAAAAAGTGGCATAAACTACTATGAACTTGCATCTTCCTTTTTAGAGCTCTTTAAGTTCTAGATTTCTTTATATGACTGTCATTTTTTTTTTGGCACTCACAATAAGAAATAGATTTTACACTGAGACCATGTATGCTACTGTATATATATATATAACTGAAGGAAGTTGAATAAAATCACACTTTCCTTTACTACATATGATGCACTCTTCTAGTCCTTCTTTTAAATACTCATTAGAACCCCAATTCACTTCATGGTACACTAATTGTTGTGACTTAGAATTTTAAACCACTGCATTACAGGTTCTGTTTTACTCTGAATAATCATTGTATTTGCAGGATAGACCAACAAACAGACCAATTATTTGAACACATTTGTTGAGCAAATGGGAGTCATTGAACAATGCAAATTTTCATTGTAAGATAACCTAAATATTCTAAACTGGTATACTTTTTGGAGTGAGACGATTTAATCTTAATAATTATTCCAGACATCAAAGATGAACCAGAAATATCCCAGACAAAGTAGCACATGTATTCACCCTGTCAGTAACTGACAGAAGAGAAAATGGTTATTTTCACATTTCCCCCTTGTCTCCTATCCTCTATCTTACTAGTGAAAACCTAGAATCTCTAATATTGGGTATGTGAGTCTAATTTGCTAGTATCAACTAGTCAGGAATTCTCAACTTAAAAGCTGAAGTTTAAGTTTTGACTTTGGATAAATCTTTATATTTCTCTGGCCTTTAGCCACTTCATATATAAAGTGAGGGCTTAATGATCTCTAAGATTCCTTTTAACCTTAAAATTACATGACTTTATGCTATAGAAAATGATAGGAAAACAGCCTTGGAAAACTTACAGTATAAATGGGATAAGTAAATTATGTAATAGCCTAGTCTTTCCCCAAATACAATTTCCTAGAATATTTCAATACAAATGCCTAAATACATATATCTGGGTTGGGCTAACAGAGAGTCAGCAGTCAAAATCATAACAAGCTGGAGACCTCAAGAGTGTTCCCTTCTATCCAGCCAGCCATAATTCCAGCAAAAGATGAAATAATTAGGTAAGAATAAGTTTCTCATATGAAACACAGAAAAACATGTAGAAAGAAACTTTCCAGATTGAAGAAAATCACACCTAGAGGACAGAACATTGTCAACTTCACAATTTTGTTAAGGGTAGGCCCTACTTAAAATCATGGTTGCTGAATTAATACTTATCATTGTGCTCAAGTTGAATGAAACACAGCACACCTGGCTGTGAGTAACTGACTCTGGATGGCATTTGTCATGTTGGTCGCTGTCCAGCATCTTTTAAAATACCATCTCTATTACATTGAGTGCTTCCTCCCCCAGAGAGAGGCCTGGACTCATTCTCCCTACCTCCCATGAAATGAGGTCCAGGATTTGATCTAGGCTCCAGCTATCCAGCAGACACTCCTTGACCCACCATCCAGGTTAAATTGTGGACCAGCAGGAATAAAGCGGGTGCACAGCAGAAGCCACTATGACAAGGTGCCCTGTAGTATTTGTGCAAGCTGTGGTTTCCGTGTGAGCGTTGGCAGAGGACTTGTGTCTTCCCTGGGACCAGTCCCTGGTAGAGTGTGTGCTATTCCAGCTTGACCCTAAACTCTCTAAGGTTATTTAATATATTTAAAACTACTTAGAGTAAATGTTGTTGTTTGCGACTAAAACCCCTGAGGGATACCACAGAATCTGTTTGGTCTAGTAAAACTTTCCTAGGAAGTTAAGAGATTAATCTTATCGTCAAGGACAGATGGGCAGGTGTCCAGTATGAGACAAGGAAGAAGCTCTCCTGGACATGAAGTATGACTGAAGCAGGAGAGTAAGAAGGCTTGCTGTGGAAAGGTGGGCATTGCAGAGGTAGAGTAGTAAGATGGAGGTAGCCAATATTAAGGGACTTTGAAACCTAAGTTTAGATACAAGCTTGTGATTTAAAAAGCAAAAAATAAGCTATTCTAGAGATTTTCTTAATGTGAGGTGATTAGATCTGGTTGTAGCAGTGAAAACATACATTTCCATGATTAAGGTTAAATACTTCAGTGATTTCATTAGAGTTCCAGGAGGATGTATCTTGAAGGAAACTCAAAAGAGATAATTATCTCTTGAGAATAAAAGGGAAGTTGGGGAGAAAAGTGATGGGGGCGGGAAAGGATTTTTAGAAGGACAAATATAGGCAATTGTGTTGTAAAATCAGAATCTGTGCATGAAATTGTCAGGGTCAAGGTGATTATTTCACCTTGTAAATGATTAATATGTATCATCTATGGTCATTTCGACTATGTTACTGAGCTTATATTGTTACTAGGATGCCCAAGTTAGAAAGCCCACAATCTAGTTTAGTGACATCACTTATATTCTGTCCATTAATGATGACTATAACAATGAGGGGAAGGGTGGAGAAAATACCAGAGAGTGTATATTTTGTATGTGAAATTTAGTCAAATTATTCTTCCAATGGGTTCTCAATCTTCCTCCCTTCCTTTTGTATTTGCTTATCATGGCAGATACAATTTTTACAAGTGTTATACTCCCATGTACATACCAAGATTTAGGGGGGCAGGGCAGATGCAAGGAAGTAAAACATAGAAGAATATTTGAGAGAAAAATTGCATGGAAGTTTCAAAAAAATATCAAAATAATATATTAGGTGTTACATCAGCAACACCATAGTGATAAAGAAACAGGAGTCATGGAGCAGGCTGTGGGATGCAAGATGCCCCATGCAGGGTGCCCCATGCAGAAGGCTGCTCAACAGCAAGATCCTGGCCTTTTTATTGACAGAGAAAGGTGGGTCAAACTGAATGCTGGATTTTGGGCTTTAGGGAGGGTGAGTCCAATGACATACACCCAACTCCCACCCATGGCTCTAATGTTATTAACAAGGTGTTCCACTGATCAGTCTCTGGGGCGCAAAGCACATCAGTCACTGGCCCCCCAGGTGTTCCCAGTCGTACCTCGGGATGTATACCTATTGCCCCGGAGTGATCAAGCATCCTGCTTTTGTCTAACTTGAAAGGAGCCTTGTACACTATACCCACAATGAGGCATCTGTGATAGCTCTTGCTGTATAACAAATGATGCCAAAATTCAATCGTTTAAGACAACAGTACATATTGTTTCTTACAGAGTATATAGACCATTAATTAAAACATGACTTGGTGGTTCATGTAGTCAGTCATAGGTCAGTGGGAGCCACAGTCATCCTGAGTCTTGACTAAGGCTGGAGGATCTTCCAAGGTAGCTCACTCTCATGAGTGTCAAATTCTTGCTGACTGGTGGCATATGGGATTTTTCCAAAAGACTGGATGTGTCCACATGGGTTGGTGGCTTGTGTTCCCCAGAGCAAAAGGATCTGAAAAGAAGCAAAGCAAAAGCTGTCATGCCCTTTATGACCTAGCCTTGATGTCACCCTCCATCACCTCCATTACAGTCTGTGAATCACACAGGTTAGTTCAGACTCATTGTGAGAGTAGACTTTGCAAGAAAGTGAGTCCTGTGGGGGAAGTATATTTGGAAGCCATCATAGAGACCATCTACAATAAAAACAAGGCAAATATGATTAAGAGGGGATCAGTACTTCTCCTCTAGGTAACAAGAGATAGAAGATATATTAAGACTGGTATATTGAAACTGTTAGGAAGAATGAGGAAATAATGATAAAGGGCCCCAGGGGTCGAGGACCTAGATCTGTATACAAGAGAAAACGTGGTGGTGCCCGGTGTAGCCTAGTTCCTTGGGATATGTTTTGGAAAAGTAGAATATGGAGGGAAAAAAGATGAAGAATTAGAAATGTAGCATTTTGTCCGAGGTCTTCCTTAGAGCTGTGATCCCCAAAAAATCATTCTCATTGGAAATGCTTCTTTTCCATCATTAAATGCATTTCTTTAACATAGAAAAGGATCCAGGGACTCAAGGAAGCCACTAATTAATAATAAAACTTGTGAACTAGTGAAGATGGTAAACCAGTAAACCTTGTACATTTTTAAGACTTGTAAACACATTTTCAAGACTGTGGTAGAGGATAGTAAAGGGGCTGGCACATCAACTGTTCGTTACACCAGTTTGTTACTCCATCATTGCCTAGCTGGGCCTACTTTAAGCGAAGTCCTCAGAACATTATCAGGGCCACCATTGTATGAATTCAGGGAAAGAAAAAACAAATTGCTATTGTGCACCTCATGTGTGCCAGGTGTTTTCTATCATTTAATGCAGTTCTTGTATTCCACAAAGGTGGAAACTAAGGACCAGAGCAGTTAAAGGTAACCCAGTGCTCTAAGTGTTCCCAAATACCCATTTTTCCTTCTCCCTTTTAGAACTAGAACCTTCAAACTTTTAGCTACATGACTGGCCAACTAACAGAGTGGGCCTTAAGGTGAGAGAAAAAAAAAGTGGTTTATTTAAGTCACTGTCATTTTGATCTCTATTTAAAAAGTTACGCCAGTTTCAATACCTGAACTTGTCAGATACCAGCTAGCAGCCAGTGGGACACCTGGGACATCTTCACTTTCTACCTCCCACTCTATCATCTCCTGCCATGCACTTTGATAAGGAAGATGTCTGTTCTAACAGGGAAGTTTTGCTCTTGATGCCTTCTGTTTTCTATGACCTCAATACATGTTTTAAAAGGGAGTTCATTCTGATAATTTTGCGTTTTCATTTACTGAAGAATCAAAGCTGTTTTCCTCCAATGTTGAGAGCAATCTATTTTCATAATGATGAATGTTAAACTTTGTAGAAATTGAGCTCTGCTTATGGTCTGTTTTGGGGTTCTGACTCATTTTCTTTGGAACATGAGTCTATTTGAGGGGTGTTAAATTTACTGGTTGTTTTCAAATGCCCTATTCTCTGAGCAGTTTTCTTATGGCTTGTACAGATGCCTGTCATCTTGCCATCCTTACATATCATTTCCTATTCATACTAAATGTAGGAACTTCCATCTGACTTTAAGTCAATACTTACTGGTATTGGCAATAAAATATTGAAATCATTCCATATTTATTGGTAAACAGCCAATACCCCAATACCACCATGCCCCACAGTTGCTCTAGCATCTATGGTCTCTGTTGCAGCACCCCTGGGTCCTTTGCATCACCAACACTCAGAAACCAGCAGGGAGCCTATAGCTCTGTGATCTGAGTCCTTTCTGATTAATTGATGTACTTGTCCTCTGGGTTATAAATATTTTTAATGTTAATTCTGGGAGCAAGGTAACTTTATGATCATTTCTGTAGTTATGTATTGCAACACCTTTGAGAAAACTGTTAGTATAAAGGATACTAACTTTATACTAATCTATCCTTCTGAGAGCATTATGTCTCCTCAAAAACTTTGTGTACTATCATAATTCAAGACACTTATTTGTGACATTTCTCTAAGACCTTTCCACCAAATCCCTATTTATCTTAATACATGCATGTGCACACGCATACACACACACATAATTGCTAAGCTAACGCAAAGATTTTCTATGAGGAATTTAAACTATTCAAAACTACTCTTTTCCCCGAATAATTTTATATTCTCTGAATGGAATGCATTCTGTTTGTTTATATTGTGAAATTATGATTTCTAAAGCTGGAGTTCACATTTCACTAAAGATATTCTCACACTGGTAATTATGGAGCAAGGTCCTTTTTAAGCAACCGTTCTCTTGTCTACTCTCTGACAATTATATCTAGCTTTTACTGTCAGCTACAGTAATATTACTTGAAAAATATATTAGAAATGTATGCTATGAAACATTATCATGCTCCCTGGCATGTTACCAACACACCAAATGTTGTTAATTATTATTATTGATGTTAAATCTCCAAACTGTAATTCTCATCGTGTTACCCATCTCTACTTTAGGTTCTATGAGAATCCAGTTTGGTGGACTTGGTAGTCAGACTCTTAGCCTCTTTTGCAGCCCTCATCTCTCAATAGTCACTGTTTCTCCTTTGTTTTCCAGTCTGGGGAACCACATTAAGCCCTTTAACTGAGTACCATCTCTCTCATCTCAAGGCTTTTGCATATAACTGCTCCTTTTGCTGCTCTCTTTGCATGAACACTTGACCTGGCTAGCTCTGTCTCATCCTTAAGGTCTCAATTTAGATGAAACTTCTTCCATATTGGGCTAGATGCTTCTTGTCTTTGCATTCATAGCAACCTGTGCCTCATCACACTAATGGATCGTGTGGTTACTTTCCCACTTCCTGGACTACAAACTTTGTGAGGGTAAGGTAAAGATCTGTCCCATTTAGCTATTCAAGTTCAATTTAGACTTTCCATTTATACCATCACTCTTGAAAAATCAATGTTAGAGACATTATCCTTTCCTAATAAAAATAATAAATCCTTTTAGTTTGAATAAATTCATATACATCGAAAAAGGCTGAAAACAAAACAAATCTGTACTTGTATTTAGTGCTACATATATATATGCATATATACACATACATGATACATATATGTATATGTCTTAGGCTGCATATATACATCTTAGACTGCAGCCTATATATGTTAATTTCATGGCCTATAAAATAAAGAAAAGATATTTACTTAATTGTATTGTACTTTGAAGGCTGTGGAATAAAGAAGAGGTTATAAACATTATGTATTCTATATTTAATTTCAGTAGTAGGTTAATTGTCATCTGGTTATATAGATTTTATGTTCTTTGTCCATTAAGCACATTTTAACAGATGTTTTTGAGATTAAAAAATGCAAGACTGAATTATGTTATTTTTTAAGATGATCTATATTTTATTTACTTCTTTCCTAAATGCCATGATTATAGTATCCATAAGTAATTTTGGTATAGATATATTTTTCATTGCAAGAAATTAGTAATCTGATCTATCTTGTCATAAGAGAGAGACAAATATTCTTATGTGTATTCAAAACTAAAAGATGAATCTTAAACCTTAAAATACTAATAACTGATATAATTGATTTTATCATTAAATTAGGAAATCTCTTTGCATTAACATCATATATATCACATATAACTGGTTATAGTTCTACTTTTCAGTGGCAAAAACTGAATTCTGTATTCTTGATAAAAAATGCTACAAGCACTAAAATAATGATTTAGTTTAACATTAAAGTTTGAAAAAAAGAGAAGGACCATCTTCCTTCTGAAAATTTTTTTAACCAAATGTCTGGAACCCTTTCTCAACCAGAAAATTGACTAAATACCTTGTAACAAATGAGGCTGCCTGTAGGCTATGGGTTTTCATGATGAGATCACACTTTCTGAAGGAAGTCAAGAATCTAGGGCAGGAAAATTTACCAGGACTACTCAATTTTAGGAAAAGAGGTATAGAGAAGTAGAAATGGGCTACTAGACTAACTGGAGAAAAAGTGGGGAGGGTTGCAAATAATGTACTCAAGTTGGAGAAAGAAGCAGGGAGTCAGATGTGAGATGTAGCCTCAATTGATATTAAAACATGGAGTTTGCAGAAACCAGGTGTGATCAAAAAGATACATTACTAAGTAAAAAAAAAAATTACAGAATGGGAGAAAATATTTGCAAATCACATACCTGAGAAGGGATTTATCCAGAATCTACAAAAAACTCTCCCAACTCAGCAACAACAACAAAAAAAAAGATGACCCAATTTTAAAATAAGCAAAGGGTCTTTACAAGCATTCTCCCAAGAAAATATAGGAATAACCAATAAGCACACAAAGAGATGCTCAACACCACTGATCTTTAAGGAAATGTAAATCAAAACCAAAAGTGGATCAACATCCTCTCATTGGACTGTCTTTAATCAAAATAATCATAAATCCATAGAAACAAAAAGGAGAATAATGACCACCTAGGGCGAGGGAGAGAGAGGTTAGAAAGTGACTGCCCTTGGGTGTGGGTAGGATTTTTTTGGGTGACAAAAATGTTCTAAAATTGGTTGTAGTGATGGCTGACAACTGTGAAATAGATAAAAGACCACTGAATTTGTACACTTCAAGTGGATGAATTATATTGACGGTGAATTGCACCTTAGTAAAGCTGTGGGCAAAAGATAGTAACTAGTTAGCAAGTATATAGAGAAATTGGAAACTTCATACATTACAGTGAGAACGTAAAGTGGTACAGCCACTTTGGCAAACAATTTGGTAATTCCTAAAAAGGTTAAGTAGAGTTACTTTATAAATACGTGTGTGTGTACGTGTATATGTATATATTTGCCTAGGAATACTACTCCCAGGTATATATGCAAGATATATGAAAATATGCAAACACATAAAAATTGAAACGTGAACATTCATTGCATCATTATCCATAATAGCTCCAAAGTGGAAGCAATCCAAATGTCCCTCAACTGATGAATGAATTCATAAAATGTGATACATAGGCACAATGGAATA